CCGCGGCACTCGAGCAAATTCTCATCGCGCAGCACATGCACTTGAAGCCTGGAGGACCACAACGTTGCAAAGCAATGAGGATCAATGAAGCTTCGTTGTTTCATGTTGTTTCACCCATGAAGTTAAAGACCGCAAACACACCTTTTCACTTTCCTTAAAATCCGAACTTCAAATTAATGAAGAAGTCGACTCAATAATGCTGATGGGAAAGTCGACAATATCTCACTATCTGCACTTCATGACAAGTCAACAATTCAAAGGAAACCCTATCAATCCATCAAAACAAACCTTGAAAGTCAAGTTCAAAATGACTCAACAAAACACAGAAATTCAAAAACGCAACGCCCGTCAACGCGTCAATAAGTTCTTCAGTTGTTCATGATTTACTATGATTTCCTGAAGCAACGGGAACACGTCCGCTGTGCTTTTTTGAATCTGACAAGTGGTTGAACGTCGGTAACAACCGAACTGTGAGCCATCACAAGTGTGTAAATTCCAGGAATCGTCTTGACCAAGAAAAAGGGATCCTGTCGAAACGCCCAGAAACAGAAGAACGCGTTGGACCAGCTGCTGCAACACCAGTGCCTCCGTGGAAAGGGTCAAAAACTGTCTTACCCGAAGCCAAAAGTTTTTGCCTAGACTATCCTAGACTGATTCATCTGGTTCTGGTTGAAAGGCTTGGTTGAGCGCTGGAGGCTTTCTCCCGAGCAGCACGCAGCCGTCTCAATTTGGTTCAATGCTTCTGTGTTTTTAAACTTTCCATGTCATGTCTGTGGGCCCTCAAGAATCATGCGCCGCGTATTGGGTAATCGAGTAATCTTCTGCTAAAGTGAAACGTCTGAATCGCCTGAGTTGTGGCCGAAAGGTGATATGGTTCTGACACGTTCTAAGCAGGGCCACAGTCAGCACTGCAAGTCACTGCACGAATATCTGGTCGGCTTTATGCTAGCTTAAAGGTTTTCTTCCGTTGCAAACTTGCCCAGTGACGGTTCACTTCAGGTCGGCTTTGGTTGTGTTCTATTGGACAATTTGAACTGACTCAAACATTGAAACGGCGACGCCCGTCTCACTTCAAAAATATTTTACTACTCAGTTTCGGCTGACTACATCTAATTACTTCCGAATTTTCTCAGTTCGTTTCATTTGTCAAAAAGTTAAAACGTCGAGATGCCGTCGAGTGCGCTTCGGGCTCCTCACTGGCGCACACAAAGATTCGCGCCTCGGAAGGAGAAAACGAAAACATCCGACGATAGTTCGAAAAAAAACAACATGTCCCAACACTTTGCATCCTGGAAAAACGATGAAGCCAACATCTTGGGGCATGCGCGGTGTTTAGAATGCAGGAAAACAATTCTGGAAATGCAAAGCATACTCTCTGCTGACAAGCGCAAGAATCTGCCACGGCTCTTGCCGTACAGAAAAGTGTGTGCTTTGATATGTTCCCCGGCAATGAAAACACACTCACACCCTGAGCTTAACTCAACACTTGAGATTTGTGTCAAAATTTCAATACAGGCAAAGAGGCAAACACGCGCGTTTCCACGTTCCGTGAACATGCATCGCAGGCGCATTACATTCAGAAACTTTAAACTCCAGCCAGTTATACAAAAAACAAACCAAAATACGCAACAGTCTGAAACACCTCCTGACCGTCTCAAAACCACATCCGACCAAATGAACCAAATGTAATCTTCATTCCCGGCCTTGCTCGCTGTGGAGATGAGCATGTAGGGCGCGGGCGGCACGTTTGAACTTGCCCTTTTTCTAGAGATGCTCTGCACAGTCTCGGCCAAATTCAACATCGCAAGTTCTTGGGTCTTCACACTGTCCTTGGAGAATTGCTCAAGATTCATCACGTACTGGTCAATTCGACACTGTTGATGCATGCGCAGCTTAGCATATTTTCCGTCATTACCAGCTTTACTATGCTTTACTCATCGCATATCGAAATGAAACTTTGGACAATCACGTTTTGCTCAGTCACGTTCCGGTTGAGGATGTTCCACGAGACTTTCGTCTCACTCTTCATCCCGCTGATGTGTTCGTAGGCAGCTCGTAAAGTCTCGGAGGAGACTTGGAGGTGTTCGAAGAAATCCCCTTGAAACGAAGAGCAAACTTGCTCGCACGTCTGCAGCCCATCCTCACCTCATCATCAAAATTGAAACCCTCTCATATTATGCTATATGCAGTATATGCATCTATATGTTACATTTCCAAACGTGATTCAAAGCAGTAGCCGAAATGATGGCAGATCCGGAAGCCAAGACACTGAAAGCAAATCCGTCGATTAGAAGAGGTACAAGTGGAACATTGTGCAGGAAGGCTGTCGCAAGCTCAGCTACACACCACGGCCTCTGGAAATACTCCTCATCAAAACGACCTTTGTGAGGAATTCAACACATTCCTTGAGAAAAAAACCTGAAAGCCAAGAACACAAAAACACACGGAGGGACATATGAAAACTGAACAAGGCCAAAATTCCCACTGAACCTATCGAAGCAGGTCTGTTCAATGCCACAATGAGAAGTCGCAGGGTTTCCATACCAAAAGTGCTGATTTTTTTCACCACCCCATTGAGAATACTGAGCCACATCACACTGGCACATGTTTATCAATTTCTACCCATGTCTGTCCTGAGAAATCACAGGCACGAAGCATTTGGTCTGATATCGAATGATGTCCACCAAACTTGTGACCTCTTCAAGTCGATCCTTAGGTAACAGCCGGTAACAGCTGTAACCATGAGCACGTTGGACAACTCAAGTCTTTGGATATCTGAGACGTGGACTGAATCTAGAAAGATCTGCCACCTGCAAGAAAGTTATATCACAGCAAGAAAAACAGTGAAAGATTTGCCGGCAGATCTGGTTTCAGACTAAGCGTTGAGAAGAAAACTGTTTGAACATCTCACCTGAACTGCTTCTTGTGCTCTTGGAGGACTATGGTCAGCAGCCGACAGAGTGCACCAGCAGCTGCTTTGTGATGACTCAAAAACATGGCAAAACCCGTGTCCTGCTCAGTTGAAGAAACGGAAGTCATTTGAAGTCATTGAGGCCAGACCATTTTGGGATCACAAATGGTTCGAAACATTGCTTCCTAAGCACGTTTTGAACATGTCAGTCCTTCCTCCAGAAGCGCCAAAGTAGGCCGGCAACGGCCACTGCAGTTACCACCGGCAACCCCAGCACCAAGATGGCTAGAAGTAGGGAAAGCAGCGAGGAACTGTTATCATCTTCCAGAATCAGCAGCGGACTTACCAAGTTCAAGAGCAACAGAGTCCCTGCTGATAGAAAAAGGTCATGATAACTTGCTGCAGCGTATCTCCTCGGGTGATCGCTCTCTCAATATTTGAAAACGTCCACAGGGTATTCTTTTTCACTGACACATGAATGTAATCTATGACATCAAATTCAAATGAATTCAAATGACATCAATATGACAACAATATCATAGCCACACATTTGCTATGAATTCAATGGCAGGCTTGGTTCCATCGCAGTGAACCGAAAAGGTGGACAGACAGCTGACCAGGATCAGGATGATCAGGTCATCTCAAAATTTGCTCCAAAATGTCCCCTGGCCCTAACTTTTCTTGGACCAGGTCTGCAATCTCGATTCAAATGTGTGAAGATCGACTTCAGTTGCAAACTTGGAGCTTGGGGTCAAGGCCTACTGTTCGGCTTATGATCAGCACTCAATGTCTATACCTGATGTACATCTTGATCATTCTTCATCATCATAATCTCCAATTTCAGCCAAGTCTCCATGGCCAAAGAAGACAAAGCGAAGTTTGTTTCCACCAGAGGACAGCGCACATCAGCGTCAGCTGCATGACTGGAAAACTGACCATGGCAATGGGCACTAAGGCCACCGATAAGTTCGTCACGGCCAGTGAAAGGCCATAGTAATAACCTGACACAAAAAGAATCAAAAAGAGACATAGACAGAACATGACAGGACATCATCAATACACAGAACTGTGCCGCCTTCTTTTTTCCAGGCCAGGCACTCATCTGTTTCCATGTGCTGTGCTGTACTGAAGCTGCAGTCAGCAAAGCGCTGACCACAAAACCAAACAGCACATTTATGTCGAAACAGTTTCTGGCTGAAGGCCTTCCATGAGTTTCCATAGAGGCCCAGCAGCACGGTGCAGGATGGAGAGCTCACAAAGTCGAGCCAGGCCCCATAGGATAAGGCTGTGCAAGCGAGGTTCGAAATTGCCCTCCTTCAGTGCCAGCAAGTTGTTGGTGCCGTACTCCAGTGCAAGAACATAGCCCATGTTTGCCCACACAATGTCGAAGAGCAGCACCTAGGTTGACATGGGCCCAAAGTAGACGGGTACGTTGACGAAAGGGTTTGAAGTCTTGGCAGAAATCGGTGTACCCACATTCGGTTGACTTATGGCTTATATATAGAAGGTGACGAATAGGAGGCGCCAACCACAACCGAGAGGTGTGAGGGTTTTCCAAAGCCACAGGGATACCCAAGTCGACACACATGCGAAAACCTTTGCCGAGAACTTCATCAACGAATTGCCAACCTTAACCTTCAACTTATCTTTATCACTCAGGCCCGGAAGTCCCAGAAGGAATTCATGGTCATCACGAAGTGGCCCCGGGCCTTTCCCATCATGCCGCCGTGCCCTGCTCCAGCTGCTACAGGGGGTACCCAACCAAACATATTTGACCCGATTGGTTAAGAGCAAAATCGAAGATCTCTTTTTGAATGCGGGGCAAAGTGAGGTCAAATTGGGGTCCGTGACAGGTATCCACTTCCACGCACAAAACTTGTTTTAGCCGCTGTTGGATGGCTTTGGAGAAATGTCCACTGCCACTGAAGATCTCGAGGCCAATGCCTAGACCTTGTACCCGGCGGCATCTGCGAAAATCTTTTCGATCCACTTCTGCGCTGAGGGCCGGCGCTGAGGCTGGTGTATAGACCTGTGCCGCACGGCCCCCGTTGCTGCACCGCCGCACTGACTTGATCACGGACCAGCGGCCTCGTTTCTGCACCTCGGTGAGTGTGCGCAGGCCACTGAGCACATCGGTCGACGCGCTTCCGTGGCGCAGCTGGCGCACACAATTGATTCCGAGGCTGACATACTGCAGGTCTGACACCACCTTGTTGAATAGGGTGGTGCCTTGGTGCAGGGGGAAACCAAACACTATCTTGTGGGGCTCCTTGTCCTCCAGGTAGGTTGTCAGCATCTCGCCGAAGCCTGCCATGTAGGGCTGATCCACGATCACGGCCTCGTCGCTTTCCCCCACCTTGACTTTGGGCACGGGCTTGCCGTCGGCGTTGTTCTCCACGGTCATGGATTGGCCCTGGAGTTTCTGTGAGTTCAGGATGATGATCCAATTGTCGCTCATCTTCGAAGGAGGCACCACATCTTGGCGCCTGAGTTTCAGGGCTTCCCCTGGGCGGCAACGAGTTGCCCAAATGGTGAGCAACCACATCGCCACTGCTGCGTTCTCGTCCCAGACATTCCGGACGATCACGCATAACATTGGCCATGGGAGTGGTGGCCTCCCTTGGGGCGGCTCGAGCTTCCGGAACCCCTTCATTGCATCCTTGGCCTTGACCAGAATGTTCATCTTGTCGACATCGGTGCGGTAGAACTTGGTGGCCGCCAGAAGAGTCGATGCATCTGAGGGGTCCTGGCCGTCGAAGAACATCTTGTTGATGAAGTTGGCCAGGGCGTGGTCCAGCTTGGGCACATCTGTGATTGGCAAGGTGTTTCTTCCCGAGATTTTTCTGGGACCTAGCCAAATGTTGGAGTAACCAGACCACCGACCTTCCCTCGAGGATGGGGATTGCCCCGGGTCGCTCCCACAGGGCCCCGTCAACTTGACGCCAATCTTCCCCAATGAAAGCCAAACGCACTTCCATGGGGTCGCCAGCACCAACACTTGACAGGTCTGAGGCAGCTAACTTCAAGTCCTCCACATCCACCAAGTCACCCGCCGGCCGAAGGTCTCGACGAATGATCTCGTTCTCCTCCGAGTCTGAAAACCTCCACCGATCACTGCGTTTCCCCAATGCTTTGACGTCTTCTTTCTTCCTCTCCGTGCTGACGATGCCACATCCTTGGAGAGAGGCATCCGTGGCATGGACACTTTCCGACCAGTCGGCCGCAAGGTCTCTCCGGATTAAGCAGACCAGACTGGCCGCCCAGAAGAGCTCCCTTTTTACTTCAGGCCAAAGTGCAGCCTCTTGCTCATAGTGTTTTCGCATGAACACGTAACAGGCCTGGAATACCGACAAAAAGCCACGTTGGAGGAGTCCAGCAAAAGTGAAGTGACCCATGAGCTTTTCCAACTAACAATCGCCCAGAACCTCGTCCAACCTCCGCCAACTTCAAAGCTGCCAAACGCAGCTTCCACATCCTCTTGTGAGTGAGAGCCACAAACTGGGCGACCAGCCGTGAACAACCAGCCTAGCGTCTCGAGGCCCTGAGCAGCTTCGACATCAGGAGTGGGGAGTCCATGCAAATTGAGGGCCTCTTCCATCAACTCAGCCAACTCTTTTGTGCTGCCAGGCTTTTGTGAAATGGCCACGTAGTTGTCCACGTACTGGCAATGCATATACTTACGCATTTGTGGCACCGCGGCTCGATCATAGCACCGCTGTCCTGGCTGCATATAGGGGTGTGAATCAACTGTCCATTGGTGTGCCATCTGACACACCCATAGAGCATGTGTCCATCCCATCGGCACCACCCGCAGACAGGGGTAAACACATCCACGTTTGCCCTCGATCTTGTCCTGGACGCCCACATCCTGAGCCTTCACCCGTGAAGTACGGCCGGAACGCTTCCGGCAATTCCAAATGGTAGAAAGCATCAGCTTGCAAAGGTTGAGCCCGTTGTGAGCTGCACCTTGTCTGGAGTTTCAAAGTGCATGTTGGCCAGCCTTGCATCAATGACCAACCTCTGTTTCCCACTCTTCTTCCACACGGCGAATGCCCCCACCTCACCAACGAAGCCCTCCTTGTGCTCGATCAACCCCGCCTCGGACAGCCTCCGACAGAAGGCAGCATACCCCCGCGGGTTTTGCCTCAGGAGGGGGTCCATGCCACAGTTCGCCTTCCTGCCAGCGATCACCTCCTCAGCCGACACCTTGGACATCAGCCGACAAAGAACATTCTCAGCCTCCTCCTCAAAGACCAATGATAGCGGGGCCGCCACCGACCCCTTCGGAGGGAGCGACACCAGGTCTACATTCATCGGAGCCAGGTGCACAGGACCACACGTGTACCCGGAGTTGGTGCGGAGCTTGCCAAGGGCTCCCTCAACAGTGATGCCATCAGGCGGTCTACCGGCATCCAAAACTGCTTGGCGCAACGTGCCCAGGCTGATTTTTTGGCTTAAGGTGGGTCGAAGGGGGTCACCAAAACTTCCCTGATCATCACCACCAATCATGCTGTTGAGTGAGATAACAATATCCCTAACCCACTCGTCCACATGATGCTTCTCCTCAATCCTCCTCACCACAGCCCGGGGCAAAGACTTTACCTTCCCGTCCAACTCCTTGACCAACGGCACGGGGAAAGGGAAAAGACCCCGTTGCCGAACACCCGCCATCATTAGATTAAAGAAAAATCCAGTAAAAAGGATCCCTTGCCCGAGAACTCCACCAGCACGTAGTTAAGCACCCGCCAGCAGGACCTCGAAGCCAAGGATCACCAAGAGGGCAGGGGTCCAGTGCACCCTGCCCGTCACCAGTCACTTACTTGCGGCTGCCCGTTCTTCTCGGGCTTTTCGAACCTGCTTCAGAACTGCCGCTTCCCCCTCGACTTCCTTGGCCACATAATCCAAGAGAGAAGGAGCAACCATGGTATCGCCAAACTCCTTGTAACCTCCAGCAAAGATGTTGGCCTCATAGTTTTGCATGGAGGACATGTAGTCGTTCTTCTTGTCTGACTTGGAACCACCTTTTCCTCCCCCAGGTCCTCGCTCGCTGTAGACATATTCAATGAGTTGCAGCCTCCGAAATGCCAACTCGGCACCGGCCAGATTTGACAAGTCCAAGCCGTCGTAACGCCCCAGTTTATCGATGATCTTCATAAAGGTTCTCGTGTTCCGCCACCCCCCAACGATCAGTCTGGGGGGGGGGGGAGTGAGTGATTCTGCACCCACCACCGATGATGATCCATCGGCCCACCATTGCGCCGATTGAGGAAGCGCGCACACCACTGGCTTGTTCTTGGGCCCGGAACGCCCCAGTCATCCAACTTCTCCTCCACGACCTCTTTGGAAACGTCCCGCCATTGCCGTTCTTCTCGATTGAGTCCTTGGAAAGCCAACCCCAAGAGACGAGCATCTGCGGATGCCTCCTTGCCCTTGAACTTCTCCACCTCGCTCTGCTTCATCTGCCTCAAGAGGAAGGCTCCATCGGGATCATTCTTGATGGCAACTGCATCGTGGATCACCTCCGTTCCATCGTCCACCAACCAATTCCACCCTTACCCAAACATCATCAGCCCCAGCTGGTTGGGGCACAGCTGCCACCACAGGAGGCCCCCGACAACTCCTGGAGCAACGGCCATCGCCATCGCAGCTTGGCGTGCATCTCGACGAAGTTGCACCATCATCTGAGCATCTGGTAGTTGGCGAAATCGATAGGTATTCTGTGGCCCCAAACCAGCCGGAAGAGCCCGAGCCCCACCTCCTTGCTGCCACCCTGACCGTCTGCAGGTCGTCGTTCTCCAAGCTGATCTGTTCCGCGTAGGTCTCAAAGTCAGGGGTGAGAACTATGTGATAACCCTGCCCACATGAGCAGCCGGGATGTACCGTTCATGGAACAAATCAGGTGGGGGAACATCATGCAACAGGAACACCCGGGTCCCTTCCGCCAGAGCCATCAGATCCTGTAAGTCCTACGAGAGCGAATCAGCTGCAACTGCTGTTGTGCCAGTAGACGCTGATCACCCTCCTCGCCTTCAATCTCCAAGCCCTTCACGGTCTCCTTGGAAGTTGCCCTCGTGGTAGAACACGGCAAAGGTGCTACATGTAATCGCCGAACAAAAAAAAAAAAAAAAAAAAAAAGAAAAAAGAAAAAAAAAAAAAAAACAAAAAAAAAAAAAGTAAAAAAAAAAATAAAAAAAAAAAAAAAAAAAAAAAAAACAAAAAAAAAAAAATAAACACAAGGTGAAAAAAAGAAAACCAAAAAAAAAAAAAAAAAAAAACAAAAAAAAAAAAAAAAGAAAAAAAAAAAAAAAAAAAAAAAAAAAAAAAAAAAAAAAAAAAAAAAAAAACCAAAACCACAGGATCCCGTTCACCAAGTAGCCCGTGCCCAAAGCCAGACCAGCGAGCACCCCCAGGAAGATCTTGATGGTCTCCCACGTCCAGCTTGAAGATGGACTCGAAGCCACAACCTCACAGGTGCAATTGCAGTGGCACTCGGATGGGGCTCCTTTAGGTAGTTCCCCAACCCAAGCAGTGAAGGAAGCAATCGCCAAGGTCACCCAGCCCACGGCGTCGACCATGGGAGACCACCGGAGGAATGCTTTTCACTTGAGCATATTGCCTTCATTAAATTGGCTTTACAAACACCTGGAAACCAGACATATGAAGACATCTGAAGATGGACAGACCTCAAAATCCATGTCGTGAACTTATCGAATCATAGCGAATCTTGGTATCCTTGGTATCAGTTTCGGCAGATCTCATGCGTTGCATTTAACCTTTTATCTTTCGGACCTTGGTGTCCTGGCGGCATAGAGAAGCCAGAAACCATGGCAGCTTTGGCAGCCAAGACACGATCAGGTCGGAAACGGCCGAAGAGAAACTCGCCTAGTCACAACCGGGAGGCAAAATGAACTTCCAAGTATGACAAAAACCCTCTTGGCCTACTGAGTCACTGATATGTCGTCTCCTTGTCTGGTCTCTCTGACCAAAGACCAAAACAATTACGGACAACATCACGAATACCTTCGGCTCGCATGGGAAACAGCCTCTTGTTGCCAGTAATTTTCAAGAACTTTCAAACTGAACTACCCATCCCAAAACGCCAAAACACGCCCAAACTGTGTTTCTTCACACATAGGTGTCTCTGCAAGTCACAAGCGTCGACCTTTTGCAAACCATCATGTGATCTCAGCCACCTTGCTCCGACACTGAAGGAGCAATGTGTGCAGAACTGACAAAGCAAACTGCATGTAAGGCCTGCTTAAGGCAGAGGTGCCAGGAAACAAAACAAACACTTCTCCTTCGCAGGTTCATGATGGCTTGTGAGCCCCAGCAACGATGACCCAAAGAAACATGGAAACACAGACCTGGAAATGTTCGCCGGACCATAAACATTGTGTTTGACAAGCTATCAAGCATTGATCCCAATAGGCACAGTATCTCATCGTAACCGTCATAACTTACACTTGCCATCAAACATGCACATCCAGGGCATTGCTGATTACCGTTTTGAAACCAGCAGTTGATGAACCATCAGCACCCATAGAATCACAACACGACTGTCTTCCATTGGCTCCTCACTGAACTAGACAATATATGTTTCATGTTAAACGTCTCCTGCTCGGTCAACGAAGCAAACCTGGATCCACTATTAAATAGGCTCAGTCCAAGCAATTCCCCATCAACACTCTTAGCAATCACGGTTAAACTCACTGCCAACCCTAACATTGATTGTGCGCAATATTCTTGCGGGCTAATTCACCGTGGTCGGATACGGGCAGTATGATGCTTATTGTAGCGTGTGGCTAATTCAACTCCAGGCACCGAGGGTATTTCCAGGTGCAAAAGGCAATCCCAGAGATTGTCAGCACAGGATACGTTAGAATCCCCGCTCCGCAAAGCAGCACCAATGTCCTCCGGTGGCAAACAACTGCGAGTAAAATCGCAGTTGAATCTTGACCTCTGCCCATCTCGAAATATTTGCAGCTTTCAGATGCTTTCAGTTACACTTGGACAGGATTAATGGCTGGGAGAGGACAGTTGCTTTCACTACAACTAGTGACCTTGGCAGTGAAGGAAACAACTGAGTTGACTCCGGCGTTGCCGAAGTCCTGAGAACAGAAATCCCAAAGCAACAGAAATCCCAAAAAGATTGGTCAATTTGATTTGGCAACAGGTAAGTTCGGCAAGTCGTTTTCAGTCACCTCTGAGCCATCGGTCCTGTGCTCGTCAGTCCAACAGATGATTTCTGGGCGCTCTTGCATGGTCCATCGTCCGTTCGGATTCTCACGGCATTGTATTTCTAAATCAAACTCAGTTGTGGAATCAATTCTCTCATCCAAGTTCTGATCCAAGAAGCTGTGACCAATGACATCATGAGCATCCCATGGAGGCCCAAGAAGCCCGAGAAGCGGAGCTTCATCGGAACCCGAAGGAGTTGACAAAGTTGGTAGCACAGCAAAGTCAGCCCAAAGAAAAACGGATATGCCAAGAGTTGCGCCGAATATTCAGATATTGCTGATGTGGTGTTCCTTACTGCGCCACGGGAAACATACATGAACAGTCTGGAATTTTCCTGGGCACTTTGGTACTCGGAGTTGAAGACAGTGAGAGAAGTCTTTCGAAACGACTTACGGATTTACGGTTCATGTTTATCTTATGCTACAATCTTCCTCGCAATATCCCTCTCTCTAATCAAAACCAGCGCTCATGAGCTTTGCCTGAATACCTCAAACTCAGAAAACCGTTTGCCAAACATGTACAATTTCATACAATTTCCACAGAAGAACAGACACGGAGATGCTTTCAAGCAATGTCTTCACTATTGCTGTAGATGATCATGGTCGCGTTTCGTCCGCCGAGTCTCACAAAGCAAGAAAAATCGTATTTGTTCGACATCGAAGGAGAAAACGTCCACAATTTTCAGCAAAGTTTTCACGGGCTCACGGAGATCCAAGGAGAAGTGCGAAATCGCAGCGATGGCCTGGTCGAATCTGGTCGACAGGTTCATCATGGTTCATCATGGTTCATCGTTCATTTCCATAGCTTTGCTCGTGTTCAAGCAATCAAACCATATCAAACCCAGGCCATATATGTCGCACGTAATGACAGCCGTACACAGTGTGCGATGGCAAGGACGAAGTTGTGTCGTAAACTCTGTCTTTCAACTGCAGCAATCGCTGTCACAAAAATTGATCTTTGCCTCTTTCCACATCATTTCAATTCATTTCGCGTCTTCACTTCGCTCTCTCACGCCCTTTCCTCACATGATGTGAAAATATGTGAAATGTTCAGTTTTCATCAGTTTTCGCCTGGAGACAAACGTGAACACGTTGACATAATTTTGTGAACTGATGTGTAGTCAGAATAGAGCAAGAACAAATAACAAGACATCTCCAGCTTTGCAAAATTGTGCGATCTACTGACTTGCCTCTACCGGACTCCATCAACTACCGAAGTCAAGAACAGTTTGATCTTCCAGGCACAATCAGCAGCACTATGCTGTAAAAGGCTGGTGTAATGGCCTGGGTTGCAGGAGCAAGGCAGAAAAAAAATACCAGATGTCTATCATGACAGTCCTGATGAGGTGATCGAAGTGGTGGAAATGGTGTCGGTGATCTGCAACAACGATCTCTGTCTCTCGGACACGCTCACAAAATCTCACGAAAAATATCACGAAATATGCGGTAATGGTTTCACATGTTTCAGGGGCCCTAGTCCTAATCTATCCGAATCATCCTTAAAGATTCATCGCAATGGGAAGTGGAAAATCAAGTTCAAGGCGCCGTGCAGGGAGCGCAGCTGCCATCCGCCAGCACATATGTCCCGAACTCGCAACTGCCACAGCCACGTCCCACACGACCTGCTAAGCAGCTGCCAGGCTCTCCTTGTGGACAATGCGCCTCACAAGAAGATGCAGCACATTAAACTTTAAACATGCTCTTAACATGCTCTAAACACGCTCTAAACATAAGGCCTCACTCCAAACCCCCGCAACGACTACAAGGGCAACAACCTGTCCTCACTCTCACCAAACGCCTGGCTTCCACAAAACAAGGTGGTCAGTGAGCATCGACCGTTTACTTTACAATGGCACCAGCCCACTGACATCTGACAACTCACAGGATAGATCGGAATAGAGGTTGGGGTTGGAAGGGGCGACGGGCAAACAGTGCGCAAATATGTCCCTGAAGGACCAGCGCAACCTCAACCACACACATGCGGAATTACCAGTACCCTGGACTGCTGGCAGTACTATACATTTTGCAGTGCGAGGAGTAGGGCATCCAGTGGGACACTCTGTTACTGCATGGCACCAGTCTTTGTTACGATCGGACCCATATGCTTCCTGCTAGGCAACGCTTGGCAGCAGCAAACATGCATTTTTTTTGTTCTGCTTCTTCTTCTTCTTCCTCACCACTCCAATTCAGAATGGAACCCAAAACAAACACACTGTCAGCCCAGCACAGAGCAGCACACAACGCATCGCAATGCCACTGGAAGAACCCATAGCCAAGGCTACAAAACGCATGGACAAACCCTCCCTCCTCTGGGACCATGTTAGCGTGTCTAAACATCCTTTGCAACTTGTTGAAAGCGTTTGCCTTTTCTGCTTGACCTGCGGAGCTTGTCTGCTCAAAAGCAATTTTGACGATACAATCAAACACATGCGTCACATGCGTAACAAACATATCAGTCGAACAAAAACTGAAAAGAGACCTCCAAAGACTGTTCCCCAAAGAATATACTACAATATTGGATTTTTTTGGGCGTTGTTCGGGATCGTATTTCAAGATGTTGTTTCAAGATCGTTTGAAAATTCAATTTGAAGCATGTCTCAAGCAATTTCAGGGCTGCATATATCATTGAATCTGCAACAGCCTTGCTTCAGGAATCTCGCCGTCATTATGACATAATCTTAAAAACCTACCCCTAATCGAAGAGGGCAGAACATCCAAACATCAGCTGTCGCAGTTCAATCCTAGGCACCTCCGCCTTGCAGCGAAACACTGAGAAATTTCCACTTGTTGTGTCTGCAAACATGCCTGGCGCTAGAGGCATGCTTTGATGCAAAACGATGCACCACAATGTAAAAGATTTCACTCAAACACTTTGACAGTCTGCACTTCTGGGCACTTTCACAGTGCTGCGCCTCCCTTTTGAAGAGGAGCATTTAGCCCACCATCGCACACAAGTCCATCAACACAGCGCTGGCATTTAACGCCATCCCAAAAAGCCCCAACCGAGCAAAAGCAGTCCTGCCATGAGATGAAATGTTTGCTTGAAAGATCATCCTTGTTGTTAGCCTGCTGATATCAAGACAACGAAGGTCAGTCGCAAGACTGTTGCAAAGGACTGTACTCAAAGGTGCGATGACCGTAATGACGACAGTGACACTTGTGAAATCAACGCCAATGATGAAAACAATCAAAACAATGACGATGATGACGGTGACAACAACGACGATGGCGACGATGATGATAACGGTGATGGTACATAAACAAATATATATATATATGGATAGCGATAGTGATGGTGATGGTGATGATAACGATAATGATAATGCTGGTGCTAATGACGATAAAGCTAATGATGATGCTGATGATGCTGCTGATGCCCATGGTGCTGCTGCTGCTGGTGATGCTGCTCATAATGACGATGCTGATGATAATGGATGCTGCTGCTGAAGACGATGCTGCTGCCCATGCTGCCCACGCTGCTGATGAAGATGAAGATGAAGATGAAAATGAAGATGAAAGTGAAGATGAAAATGAAGATGGTGGATGCAGCTGAAGATGAAGATGAAGATGATGATGATCACGATGACGATGTGCTGCTGATGTTGCTTATGATGATGCTCAAGATGAAGATGATCATGTAGATGAAGATGAAGATGATGAACATGATGTTAATGATAATGGAAAATGATGGATGCAGCTGAAGATGAAGATGAAGATGAAGATGAAGATGAAGATGATGATGATGATGATGATGGTGATGACTACGAGTATCATGATGTATCATCTCGGTAACGGATGAAAAATGATGAAAATAGATTGTAACATAATGTAATGATTTGTAATGGTAGTATCAGCGATGATCCAGTTGAGCTGCATTCTCAGTCCTGGGAAGTGCTGGCTCCTTTGATAGACGTTGTCTGATGGGCCCCACAGCTGAGACAGGTTGTGGCACCAAAATCATCTTGGTAGCGACCAACCTGCGGCAAGGCTGAAGCCACGTGACTTCGCAATGAGACGACCCAACTTGGGAAGTAGCTTAGCTCTAAGCTCTACTTTAGCTCTACTTCTAAGCTCTACTTCTAAGCTCTACTTCTAAGCTCTACTTCTAAGCTCTACTTCTAAGCTCTACTTCTAAGGTCTACTTCTAAGCTCTACTTCTAAGCTCTACTTCTAAGCTCTACTTCTAAGCTCTACTTCTAAGCTCTACTTCTAAGCTCTACTTTAGCTCTACTTCTAAGCTCTAATTCTAAGCTCTACTTTAGCTCTACTTCTAAGCTCTACTTCTAAGCTCTACTTCTAAGCTCTACTTCTAAGCTCTGCTTCTAAGCTCTACTTCTACTCTACTTCTAAGCTCTACTTCTAAGCTCTAATTCTAAGCTCTACTTCTAAGCTCTACTTCTTCGCTCTACTTCTAAGCTTTACTTCTAAGCTCTGCTTCTAAGCTCTACTTCTAAGCTCTACTTCTAAGCTCTACTTCTAAGCTCTACTTCTTCGCTCTACTTGTAAGCTCTACTTCTAAGCTCTACTTCTAAGCTCTACTTCTAAGCTCTACTTCTAAGCTCTACTTCTAAGCTCTACTTCTAAGCTCTACTTCTAAGCTCTACTTCTAAGCTCTACTTCTAAGCTCTACTTCTAAGCTCTACTTCTCTACTTCTAGCTCTACTTCTAAGCTCTACTTCTAAGCTCTACTTCTAAGCTCTACTTCTAAGCTCTACTTCTAAGCTCTACTTCTAAGCTCTACTTCTAAGCTCTACTTCTAAGCTCTACTTCTAAGCTCTACTTCTAAGCTCTATTTCTAAGCTCTACTTCTAGGCTCTACTTCTAAGCTCTACTTCGAAGCTCTACTTCGAAGCTCTACTTCTAAGCTCTACTTCTAAGCTCTTCTAAGCTCTACTTCTAAGCTCTACTTCTAAGCTCTACTTTAGCTCTACTTTAGCTCTACTTTAGCTCTTAGCTACTTAGCTCTACTTCCAAGCTCTGCTTCTAAGCTCTAATTCTAAGCTTTAATTCTAAGCTCTGCTTCCAAGCTCTACTTCTAAGCTCTACTTCCAAGCTCTACTTCTAAGCTCTACTTCTAAGCTCTACTTCTAAGCTCTACTTCTAAGCTCTACTTCTAAGCTCTACTTCTAAGCTCTACTTCTAAGCTCTACTTCTAAGCTCTACTTCTAAGCTCTACTTCTAAGCTCTACTTCGAAGCTCTACTTCGAAGCTCTACTTCTAAGCTCTACTTCTAAGCTCTACTTCTAAGCTCTACTTCTAAGCTCTACTTCTAAGCTCTACTTCTAAGCTCTACTTCTAAGCTCTACTTCTAAGCTCTACTTCTAAGCTCTACTTCAAAGCTCTACTTCAAAGCTCTACTTCAAAGCTCTACTTCTAAGCCCTACTTCCAAGCTCTACTTCTAAGCTCTACTTCTAAGCTCTTTTTCTACGCCGTAGAATTAGAGCTTAGAATTAGAGCTTAGAAGTAGAGCTTAGAAGTAGGGCTTAGAAGTTAAGGGAGGGAGGGAGGGGGGGGGAAGGGAGGTCCGGGACGCAATGGAGGGAGGGGAGGGGGGCGTGAGGGAAAAGTAGAGCATAGCAGTAGAGCAAGAAGTAGAGCCTAAGAAGTAGAGCTTAAGAAGTAGAGCTTAGAAAGTAGAGCTTAGAGCTTAGAAGTAGAGCATCGAAGTAGAGCTTAGAATTGAGCATTATCGAGCTCTACTTCTAAGCTCTACTTCTAAGCTCTACTTCTAAGCTCTACTTGAAAGCTCTACTTCTAAGCTCTACTTCTAAGCTCTACTTCTAAGCTCTACTTCTAAGCTCTACTTCTAAGCTCTACTTCTAAGCTCTACTTTAGCTCTACTTCTAAGCTCTACTTCTAAGCTCTACTTCGAAGCTCTACTTCTAAACTCTACTTTAGCTCTACTTTATCTCTACTTCTAAGCTCTACTTCTAAGCTCTACTTCTAAGCTCTACTTCTAAGTTCTACTTCTAAGCTCTACTTCTAAGCTCTACTTCTAAGCTCTACTTCTAAGCTCTACTTCTAAGCTCTACTTCTTAGCTCTACTTGTAAGCTCTACTTCTAAGCTCTACTTCTAAGCTCTACTTCTAACTTCTAAGCTCTACTTCGAAGCTCTACTTCTAAACTCTACTTTAGCTCTACTTTATCTCTACTTCTAAGCTCTACTTCTAAGCTCTACTTCTAAGCTCTACTTCTAAGTTCTACTTCTAAGCTCTACTTCTAAGCTCTACTTCTAAGCTCTACTTCTAAGCTCTACTTCTAAGCTCTACTTCTTCGCTCTACTTGTAAGCTCTACTTCTAAGCTCTACTTCTAAGCTCTACTTCTAAGCTCTACTTCTAAGCTCTACTTCTAAGCTCTACTTCTAAGCTCTACTTCTAAGCTGTACTTCTAAGCTCTACTTCTAAGCTCTACTTCTAAGCCCTAAGCTTTACCTTAGCTCTACTTTACCTCTACTTTAGCACTACTTTAGCTCTTAGCTCTACTTTAGTTTTTAGCTTTACTTTAGCTCTTAGCTCTACTTTAGCTCTACTTAGCTCTACTTCCAAGCTCTACTTCTAAGCTCTAATTCTAAGCTCTAA